CTGCGACGGCGGCGGCGGTGACGACGGCGACAGTGATAGGTGCCGGAGACCGTGGAGTTGACTGGAACTATTCCTGTGCTCTAGATACCATATGAGAAATAGAGAAGATTGGGAGAAAATATCCCTTGTGTGTTTAGCATACACATAGGGTAGTTTATTTATATTGTAAGATATGGGCCAATGCCCTAATACAGAATAGACTAAGCCCAAATAACAAAAACACACATCTTAATATCTAACAATATGTATTCACATCAACCAATGTCATGAACAACCAGTAACTGGGAGCATAATCCCCCTCCACAGGATCAAGGTTCCTGTCTATACAATTGATATCAAAAAACTCCCTCTCTACCAGACCCTCCCTTGCCTTCTTATAAAGGCAGCCCACTTCTAACTACCCAACAACAATTAATTCCTAAACTGAACAATTAATTCTTCAACTGTTTTCTCTCTCCTGCACACCTAATACCCATTATAACCTATCATATTAAATCCTATCATTGCAGCTGAAAGATTACAAGGCACAATATTGAAATATTTTATTGTGTATCTTTATTCTATAATGAATCTCTTTATACAAAATTGCTTTGATAGAGAAGAATTTGATACAACCTGAAGAAACTCATCAACAAAAACATCTAATCTTTTAGGTGTAGCTCCAATAGAGGTTTTTATTTGTACAATATCTCCAGCTGTTGCCTAAATAACAGATTAGACAGCTTACCATGATGCCCAACTCATGCCATATCCAATGTGAAAATGAACCCCTCAATAGAGAGAGGAAGCAACTAACATCAACATGTTCCATAACATGGATAAGAAACCTAAGTTGATATTCAGCATCTACCAGATTTTCCCTGTGGATGCCAATAGGCGCAACCTGTTTGGTGCCAATAACATGAAGAAGTTTAAGAAAGTTTAAAAGAAACTAAGAAAATAGAACAAAGGAATTAGATAAAATAACAACAAAATGAAAGTTTTCAAACAATTGAAGATTGATGACCCGCAAACCACTCATTTCGTTAACTCAGATCAGGTTCCATTGTGGATAACACCCACTCTTGGCACGAGTGAACCACATGGTTAATAGATCTTGCAACTGTAGATGTTAATGTACTTTAATAACTGTGCAACTTACCCAACAAAACTTAATATAAAGTGAACTTGGTCAGCCCAAGATAAATATAAATTGTTTGTCATCCCATGTCCCAACAAGTTAAGAATACACAAACCTATTACAGATATCATATTCAATGAGAATTCACTGCATTCAGTTTCATTTCAATGTAGTTACATTCTGTTTAGGTTTTCTGATTTAGTTATTTACAAGTTAGTTTATTTTGTTTTGGTTAGTTACGAGTTAGTAACAGGTAGTTATAGTGCCAACTTGGCAGTGAGTCACACTTATAGCTAAATGTAGCTATATATGTTCTAATCAGTCAATGTTGAACTATAGTTTTTAGTTCTAAATCTGTTACAACTAAAGCAACATATTGCATATATGCATGCAAAGGCATCACTACAAATTTGCCAGGTGTGCTTTTGAATGAAGCAATTTCACTCAAACGTTTTGTCCTTTCTTAAACATAAGCCAACGCAAGTGTGGGTTAATGCATCTCTGCGCGTGCTGAACATCTGTCTAGAACTGCAGCCTCTGCCATGTCTGAATCTCATTTTCCGGCCCTTCATTCTTTGACATGTCCCATATGTTGTATACAATAGGAATTTCTCGTCTGAGTTTGTAGTCTTGTCACCAGAATTCACCACTTCTGTGTACCATCTTTGTATACAATAGGAGTTCCTAGCCGTTAGTATTGTTCATATCACATTTGATAGATTAAGTAAATTCAACTGCAGAAAATGTGACAAGTGAAACATGATGCAATTGCAATTCAGAGAAAACACGACTTGGTCACTACAGAAGACAAGATGTGGTCACAAGTGGTTGTATTCAAACACCCAACCCAAACACGACCAGATCCATGGAAATGAGCATTTGTTTCTTGAAATGTTGCATCTCAAATAGGACACATGTCTCTTTTGTACCAAATGACGCAACTCAATGACTCAAACTTGGACTTGGAAGTCTGATTTGAGTCTGTTAAAATAAAAGAGAGAGGCATAGCTTGAATTCCTAATCTGTGTAAAGCATGCATGGTTATGTATTTGTAAATAGGAAAATACAAGGAGATAAGTCTAAACCCGTTACATCTAATAAAATTCAATAGGAATAAAATTTGAAACTTCCTAAAATATCTCAGAACATTTTATGGTCCTCCACATAAGATGACCTAAATAACACCTTTTATTTGTAAAAGTATTTTTCCGGTTGTTTTGACATTGAAAGCAGGGTGTTTAAAAACATGGTTCTGACAGGAGGTTATTGGTGTATGAGAGAAGAAAGAAACGTTAGTTATCTAACTGTTTTACAGATAGATAAGGGGCGGGAATGTTATTGTATAAATAGGAGTTTGGTAGTTGGAGAGAGGACTCTTGATTCGTTATTGTTTGTCTGAACAGGATAGTTATTTCCTGTTGGGGGAGGTTAGGCTCCCATACTTTGACTCTTCTTGTATTCTTTCTCTGTTCAATAATATTTCGGAGGTTATACAGTATTTTTTGGCTGTTCTTTGTGTGTTGAGAGGGATATCGATTAGGTTTCTTTATAGGAAACCTATCAGGTTCTCTCCCTATATTGGAATATGACATATTTCCTTATATTGGAATATGACATATTTTTTAATGGGTTGTGGATCAAACTAGATCAGTACCAAAATTTGAAGATCTGCAAAAAAGAAGCCACCACACATGTTGAAGCCCTTGAGAGAGGAAGAACTTCAAATTTCTACATGGTTTGAATTGTGAATATCTAGTCCCAGCTCGAGATGTAGAATCTTTAGTGTGAGGGGCGTGTTGGAGATGTTACATCCACTATAGATATAATCAAATTATAGTATATAAGTGTGTGCTTGCCTCACCTTATAAACCAGCAAACCAGCTTTGTGGAATTAAATTAGGTTAAAAGTCCACTTTCTAAGACTAACAATCCCTATCTTTTAGCAAAGCTTTGAGCTTTAACTATGTAAATACATTCTATCTATATCTAATCAAATCGATAAAAAAATATCAATTACATAAATTAAGAGCCGAATAAAATTTGTGTTTGGGAAAATAGGTTTGGGATTAATCTCCCTTGTGTATAAAATACACATATGGTATTATATTTATAATAAATGAAATATGGGCTAAACCCAAAATATAAATAAAGAATAATAATAAAGTAATTGATAAAAGATAGAGATAAATTATCTATCTAAAATATCTAATATTATAATATATCTAACAAAATTAAAAAGCATAAATCAATAAAAAGTAAGTTACAAGAGATGATATAAGATTAAACCAATACTAACCTCACCATAACCAACACTTCCATCTTCAAGCTCTAAGGATAGAATAAATCCTTCTTTGTAGAATTCCTTACAGCTATCAACCACAAATGCTGATGTTGGTGGAGCTTTAAGTGCAATTCTGCCACAGCACCATTTCATCCAATCCAAGGAAAAGAATTAATAGAAAGAAATATCAAAATAAATTAGCCATTAGAATTTATGTTATGGGAAAACTCACCTATATTTAGAACATTGTATTTTACGAATTTTGTATGAACAAAACTCATCATGTATAGAGCCTTCATTGAAAACCCATGAGAGATAATTGATGGTGCGTTGAACTGTTTGGAGTGCGAATTTCTTCAAAATGCTGAATCAAGATATGAAGCTGTTGGCAAAGAGTTGACAATCCATTAAGTCAAAATATTAAATAACCAAATGCCTATACAAACCTGTGAAAACTGGCATTGGCGTCAATGGAACTCTCAATTTCAATCATACAGTCCATTTGTTCATGTTGAGCTACACACAAAGCTTCCTTAAGTTCTTCTTTTGTTGTCACATGTAAATGTTTGATGCTGCACATGTATTATATTTTTCCTTAGCAAAAAATGTAGCATCCGTAAAGAAGAGACTGAATATCAAAACAATTGGAGAAAATGCTTAACTGCAACAAAAATACAATATCTAATGTATGTATATGTGTGTGTAGATAGATTATAACATTTCTGCCTGTAAGAGAGAACCAGCTCATACAACTATGCATTCTAGGCCTACTAATCTATTCAACTGTATATAGCAAAGCTTTTACCTTTTTTGCTTTAGATTTCAGCTTCCAGTCTCTTTCAATCAGTTGATATTGACATATCAGTTACCTTATGGCTTCACTGACCCTCTATCAACATAGGCTCAGCTCATTGTACTATTCAATTTTTCACATTTCAATCAAACTAAGAACTGTCTTTATACATTAGATGTTTTTGCATAACTTCTTTGCTCTAAAAGAAAAAAACATTAACATCTCAAGAGTGATGAACTAATCACACAATCCATTTGTCTCACTGAAAAAATACTTTGGAAATACACACATTTTCACTGCATGAGGAAAGTCAAGATGGAAGCATCAATCAATAAATACAAAGTTTGGCTTTTTACAAAGGGATTGTGACAGTTAAACCAATTACACCTCTCAAGGCACCCCAAGTTCCAAAATTAAACATAACTTCCCAACAAAAGGAACCTGCAATTCTAGAAATAAGCATAACTTCCCACCTCCAATAGTGTAGTTTGATCCTAGGGAACAATTGAATTCTAAACCAAAAACGTCACTTCCACCTAAGATTAGCAAACCATCTAGCAAAACCGGTGTGCATATTGGAATTCTCCAACTCAAATGGCCCCATGTTTAATTTCACTCCAGATTCTCTATTGCGTTTTTTGGAGCTGTCATCAGCTAAGCATTAAAAATGCACTGATGTTGATATATTATAATTCTTTTTAATGTATTTTAAAACATCAAGATCAGTGTCAATCAGTATATTTTAAAGGCACAGTAGAGAGACAACACAAAAGAACCCAATCGGGAATTCAAATTCGTTTAATTTCTACCTAACCAAAGTGAGGGCTCAAACTCATCAACCTCTGCAGTATTTCACAACAATTTCCCTCAACAGTACTGCATGTTCAGCATCCCAAAGAGTTATGTGCCAACCAACTTCGAGAAAGCACGTATTCCAGCCAAGATTACTGACGAAGTAGCTCAGACCTTATCAAACCCCACAACTAGACTGTAGATTTAACACAAAGCAATGGTTGCCCTTGCAAATCGTAGATGGAGAAAGCTTATTCTGTGACCTTAGCTCTGAACTCAACTAAATTCAAAACATCTTCCACCAAATAAGTTATTTTCATGAATTTGAATTTTGTACAATTTATGATTATTTCCCAATCCCTTACAGCCTCATATATAATCTTTCTTAGGTAAAACCTGTTTTTTTAGCATGCAAGAAAATTAATTATCTTAAAACCACTTTTCAGCACATTTACCTAAACAAAAACAAACTGTGATTATAATTAATTATAACAATAATTGATTGTACATATAATTGATTATTGAAGTAATCTAATTATTGAAGTTGTCCGAAACACACCCTTAGATTATATGGCACAAAGAAAATTAAAATATCAATGATAAAAAACATTTTCCACACAATTCAAGCCCAAAGTTAAGAATCATACCCATGTGCCATGCATAGTTCACGTATTGAAATGTTGTGAGAGGTATAGAAGTATTGATGCATTATGGATGTTTCAACTTTATCTGCCAAAGGAAGATTACTGAAAATTGCTCCTCCGTGATTATTAACCACAAGAATTGTCATCGGTTTCCGCAGTTTCCTAGTTGGCATGTTTTCAGAATGTTAGCTATGCTTCATGAAAGTAAAAGTTGAAATAGGACAGCTTTGTTGAACAATACGTACCTTAATAGATAATAAATAATTTTATGACTAAAGAATAGACACTAGCAAGAATATCTCTGATCTGAAGATAAATGTTCATACCATTATGCAAAAGGCTAAATACCTAAAATTCATTAAACCTACAGTACAATTATTAAACCCATATAGTGAAGCAGAGTGACCCTCTCCAAAAATAGAGAGATAGCCACTATTTTAAAATTGTTAAAGCTGATTGGGGAGGTGAATTCAAACCCCAAACCAAGTACATCATTGAACTAGGTTTACTAAGATGAATTACTTCCCTCACAAAATGAACCAATCACTTGATTACTCATACTGAACCAAGGAATCCTAAGCAAGCTTTGAAGGACTGCTACTATGAGGCAAAATTATGAGGCATTACTGAAAGGTAATAACTAGACTCGTGTTCCTTCTTCCCAATAGACTAACTAAGTGGGTATTCAAAGTTAAGAAAATTGATGGTTTAATCAAAAAGTTTGAGGCTGTTAAATGTTCTCCTTTTAGTTTATCATAATTTTCTTATTAAACCACTTGAAAGAATTAATATGAAAGAAAGAAGATTTTATTCAATTGATTCATTTGAAACAGTACATCAACTTCTATATATAGAGAACTCAAACCCTAAAGTAATAATCACATGAGATCTCTAGAACATTCTAACAACTTCTAGTAATACATTTAATATTGTTGAATATAGTGAAAAACTATATTTGGATTAATCTACCTTGTGTAAAATACAAACATAAGGTACTCTATTTATAATAGAAGAAATATGGGCTAAGCCCAAAATACAAATGAGAAATAATAACAAACTAACTAAAAGATAAAAGATATAATATATCTAACAAATATCTTACCAACAACTTTCACTATTGCATTTAATATTCAAATAACAACAAAATTTGTTAGATATAACAAGCTTAGGGCCCATTACTTTATATTTTCCTGTTTATAAACACATAACCATATGTGCTCCATAAATATTTCAACATGGTATCTAGAAGTAGGATTAATCCTTGCCTCCTTGATTAACTGCTATTTCATTTTAGATGATGTCACTTTCACTGAGTCTTCCAAGTACTTTAAGTCTAATCCTTCTCCTACTATGTCTCTCATTGATCAAGTCATTGTTCTAGTTGTTTGTCATCCTCTTGCTGTTTCTAGTATACTTACAGATCTTGACGAGTGCATATTTATACTCACAATTTAGTAATATTAAATTCTTAATTGGTTTTTGTACTTTCATAGAATATTTTAATTAAGATTTGTCATAATTGGGTTTATTTAGCATGAGATAGAAAAACATGTTGAAAATAACTTTTTAGTTGCATAAATGTTCTTGAGATATTTTAAGGTGTGTTAGTGCAGCTATAACTAAGTTGAGCTTATTGAGGTGTGAAAATAAATTGATTAAAGTTTCATGACACCTTAAAGATAAATCCAAGAATAAAGGGCTACTGAGACATTTTATTAATTGATGTGTATATTACAATGTTTTGGTACTCTATATATAGAGTACCATGGTAGGCGCAGAAAAGAATCCCAACCATTAAAGTTGGGTTCACACACACACAAAACAATATTAAACTTAATACATTTCAACACTCCCTCAAGCTGGAGCATATAGATCATCATACATATAAACTGAATCCTAGGCCCTCTTAAAGACTTAGTCAGAATATTTGCAAGTTGTTCATTAGTCTTAAATAGAATTTATTGTAAAGGTGCTACGTCCTTTGTGCTGCACATAGTTCCTAGATATATCTTTCAAATTCTCTTCTCTTCCCTTTCATACATTGTATTTGACGTAACGTTGTTATAAATATGAGATCCTAGGAGAGGGAAATTCACTCACTAAAATTCATTCTAATTCCTTTGTATTATTCTCAAGTTTTTGTTTCTTCCGAAGTCTTTCACATAACCACTAAATTTGTTCTCACATGATTTGGAGTGAACCATGTGTATCAATTACCCAAGGAAACTGAATATAAAAAAATAAACATGTAGATCGAAATTACCCTATGTAAAATGACCATATAGCTAACAGCAAAAATATATAACAATACTCTATTAACAAGCATTACCAAAAGAATACATAAATATTGTATGAAATGAAAAATTTGGTACATAATTTCCTACCGCTGGTTCAAAATTGCCAAGCCATTGGTATCATGCAATAAAGAAATATCTCCAACTACACACAACACCTGAATGAAATTATGAAATTAAAACAAACTATTAACAACAGAAAGGAAAATATGGTAAATTAATGAAATAAAAAATAAATGGACAAAACAAAACAAAGAAAGATGAAGTTTTTAAGAGATAAGTTCTCACAAAAGACATGAAAAGAGGCACTAGAATCACAAATCCATGTAGAATTAACACCACCTTGAAAATAAGTGTTAGCAAACATATTTTTCTGGGTGAAATTCTTTACATTAGGGTTCAGCCAGGTCTTAGGAGTTCTGTTGTTGGACTAAGAGGAATTGAACTGTGCAAGTTGGAGTGTTGAAGGATCATAATAGAAGAAGAGACTCGGGGATAATAATGCATCAGCCCTTTAGAATAAAATGATGCAAAGTAGTTAAAGTTGAGATTGTGGTTAAGATCGTGAAGGGTTCACAAAATCGTAAATCATGGGATCTTAACACAAATATTAGATTTTAATTTCTACATATGTGTGTGTGTGATAGGATACTGGGTAATAGGATAGAAGGGGGCTGAACGGTAGGAGACAAGGGGAAATAAAGCTGAATGGGAGCTGGACCCAATCGGTTGAAGAGTGACTATCCTAACTGTTCCAGTTAGGATAGGCGGGAAATATTTAGAAATAATTATAGTAAATAAAAATATATCTTAGGGAAATATTTTATTTAGAACAATATTCATATTTTATTAGAGGGAAATATTTTATTCTAGGGAAATATTTTATTTAGGAAATAATTAATATAAATAAAGGAAGAGTCTAGAGTTAAAGATATGTTTTTTATTATTGAGTTGTTGACAGACGGCTACTTGTGAGGGAGGTTATGCTCCCAAAGTAATTGAAGGAAGTTATGCTCCTAATTATTGTTTACCTTTGTTAATTCAGATGTTACCATCAATAAAAGAAATTCTTTAGTTCAATTCCATTCTTTCATTATTATTTTGCTTACTTTGAGTGTGTGAGAGGTTGTTCTGGTTAAGTTTCGTACTCAGGTACGTAACAGTGTATAATATAGGATATAAGGTGATAGGATATAATGTGTGCAGGATAGAAGGAAACAAATTAGGAATTAGTTGTTAGTTGGTTAGTTGGTTGGGGGCCTTTATAGAAGGCAGGGAGGTCTTGTGTCAGGATAGTTTTTGTTAATTCTTTGTGCAAACAGGACCTTGTATCTTGTGGAGGGAAAGTGTTCCCTTGATAGTTTTGAGTTGTGTACAGTGTATTCTTTGATTACCAGAATAATATACCGTTTTCCCAGTAAACTATGTGTAAGAGCTGTGATTCATGACAGATTGATTTCTTGACTAAAGAAATCTATCAGTGTGTATGCGAGCACGCATGTACACCCCTAAAATGACTTGGGTTTGTGATTGTGGTTTTTCAATTTCGTAAGGAGAAGAAGATATGCATATTAGGTGAACTTATGCCAATGCTGAATTTCTTGATTTTACACTTAATTAGATTTGGGAAAAGATATACACTGACACCTAACCAATGCAAGTTCCATGAAAAGAGAAGATATTTGTAAGTTATAAGTGCTTTGAGTTGGTTCTATTTTAATTGAAACTCAATCAGGGAAGAAGGTGAACGGTGCAGCAAAAAGCACCCTTAATTTTTAATTGGGATTGAATTTTGTTTTAATTGAAACCTATATTAACCAAGAAAGTGAACAAGTGTTGCGGCTACAAAATAAAAGGTGATTTTAAATTCCATTAATTTCTAATTGGGTGGTGTTATGGCTGAACACACATAACAAGGTGAACTTTTTAATGCATTAACTTTTAATTAGGTATAGGTTTTATTTGAACTAAGTCCATTCATCAAAGGAAGTGAACAGGGGGTGCAGAGGACATTACAAAAAAAATATGCTATCCAAACAATATCATAATTCTGTTTGACGGTGCAATTTTGTTGTGACATGATCATACTTGAGATTTGAAACATATGCTATGCAATACCGTAGGCTCGTACGATTTTATGAGTAAAATCTCGGTTTTCACTACAGTGAAATGATGGCAGTGTGACCATATTTCAAATAGATTTTGCATTCAAAATTGGCAGTGTCTACCATGGCCTCTGCCAAGATCACCATGACCACTAGTTGTGCCCCAAACCTAATAGAAGTGTGTCGCCAATAATGCAAGAGAGAATTAACTTTGATAACATTGATTGAAGAAATGTAAAAAGCATTTGATCCTGAACTTCCCACACTTCATATGCAGTACTCATATGGTCATAGTGATCTTTATCATCTGGATATCGTGGAGAAGTCCTAGGGTTAGCAACAAATAATTCAAGCCTGTGCGATTTGGTAATGGGTTCAACTTGTTGATATCAAGGAAGATAGTTGGAGTTGTAGAGTTTCTCAACAAGGGAAACGGGAAAGGAGTAAGGTGCAGAAACGGTGGGAGTTGAGGTAGCCACAACAAAAAGTGAGAACCACATTTGAAAAAGAAATTGAAGGTTGCCAAGAGGAAAGATGGCTCTAGAAACCATCTTAGAGAGAAGAAAAAAGTGGAATATAGAGAAATTTATTTTATTATTTCTGTACTGTTCACAGCAAAAATACAAAAGGATCATTTATGGTAGCTACCCTTGAGAAATCAAACAGACCAAAAACAAGAATAGAATTGCCTAAAAGGGACAGCTGGCAAAACAAACTGTTGAGTTAGGAGAAAATATATTAAGTTAATTGTAATCATTACAAGTGTGGCGTTGTGATATACTAGAGATCCTTTTTTGTAATCATTACTTTAGGGAGAGAGTTGTCTATGTATATGCTCATTTATTCAATTTCAATAAGATCTTTTCTCTCATCCAGCTTAATCCTTTCCAAGTTGGCATATATTATGACAACAAGTCAGCCATGTACATTTCCTATAATCCAATACAAAATTATAAGTGCAAATATATTGAAATTGGCAGGGACATTGTCAAAGATTATGACAGAGAGTTCTTGTAGTTATAATTCATGTCCCTACAAAACTTTAGATAGCAGACAATTACACTAAGGGGCTTCCTCAAAGAAGATTCTAGGATCTTCTAGACATATTGGTAATGATATGTATTTATTTACCAACTTGAGGGGAATGTTGTAAATAATAGATTATTGGGATGAAAATATCCTCACTATTTTGACATTGATTAGGAGAAAATATATCAAGAATCTTCCAATTCATTTCATCATATTTTTATTTCCCGATTTTAGAGATTGTTACAAATAGAGGTGATGAGAATATAATGAGTATGATTGTTATCAAAAATAATTTTTTATTTCCTTACATAGTTCAAGTTTCCTTTTTGTTATAAATAAAGAGCATTCAGATATATCAATTTCCAACAATATTAAAGAGCAACTCTTACAAACAAGGTACCCCGCCCTCTAAAACTACCAGCACAACCCTGAATATCAATCCTTTGTTCATGGTTCTCATATAGGAAAACAGTACAGCAGCAATGAACATACATTGAGCTCAAAATTACCTCAAACAAGAAACGCTATTTATTAAAACATCCTGTTTTAATATATCAACGAGGGTATTTCTGAAAATATAAACAGCTACCTTTTTGTTGCATCCTGCAGCAAAACCAATGGCTGTGCTAAGTAACCCATCGATACCACTAGCACCCCTGTTAGCAGCCACCCTCATCAAGTTAATTGGTAGGTCTGAGTTTAACATTAGTGATGAAACACTTTGATTGCATATAGACCAACTGCGTCCATATAAATTTGCATCCCGAATAGGCATACTGTTACCAAGAAATAGGGCAGACTCGGAGGAAAGAGCATCTGACATCACATGTGCAACATAAGGTTCAGTAAGGGAGCATTCTGCATTAATTTGAAATTTTATCTCCCACTCAACCTACAAATTAAAATGTTATGAGAAAATGACTAAGCTGTATCCAATATCAAGGAATTATTGTCAGTCACAAACAAAAACCTCTTAAAGTTTACTTGTCCAATACCATTCTAAAAATTTTAATGGAGAACATTGTCAATAGTGGAAATGCTTTCAACCGATTTCAAACTGCTAGATAAGATACCTCAGGAATACATCAGATTAAGATGTAAAAGAAAACATAGCCAACATTAAAGAAGTAACTTTTCAATATTAGAATTAATACCATTTTACTCAACAGTTGTAGGGAAATGCCCCACATGCTCCTAGTATTTGTAACTGAAGCCTTAAGTAAGCAGCCCACAAATTCAAAAATTGAAGTTTGTATACGATGAGTTATAATATGTGATGGATCATGCCGTTGAGGATGTTTGTCAACCATAATATATGAAAAAGGAGCCCGATCCTCAAGAATTTGGCAGACTCGTTTGCTTGTTAGCCTGCTTCCTATCTGCTCCAAATAAAAAAGGAGGATGGGAAAAAGTAAAAAAAAAGGCAAAAATATCATATCAAGAAAAGAATATACAAAAACATAACTTAAAAAAGGAAAATGAAAATTGTAGAAGGAAATAGAAGGGGAATTGGAAAACTTTTGTAAAAAGTGGTAATACCTGAATAACCACATCAACGTCTAACCAGCCCTTGACAGTATCTGAGAGAAGAGCTTGATCAAGATTATCAACAAATATAAAATTTCTTTCAATATCAGGAAAAGAACTTAAAAGAGTTCTCAACCGCAACCCTGACAAGATATCTGCTACAACAGGCCAGTGAAGGTGTTTAGCCAAAAGCAGAGCAGCCCACATCTCATCTTCTGTGTGGATTGCACCAAATAGTAGAAGACTATTCTTGGATTTTTGAATCAGATCCAAGACTTCAGACATTTCACCAGGTGCATTTGTACTAGTATGAGACAATCGCATATGAATATACTTGGTAAATGGTTCAGCATTACTCATCCAGAAATCTAGCCCTGTCAAACAGCTAGACAACCATTTACAGGGACTGCTTTCTAAAGGCTCTCTAAAAGGGCAGTTGATATGTACTGGACCACATGGTGAAGATGTTGACCTATGTACAGCAGAATCAAGAGTCGTGAGCACCATCTTTGCAGGAATTTGATCTGTGGGTGCCGGGAGATTAAAGAAAAATCTGACAAAAGAACCAAAATGGTTCACCTGACACAGAAATTCAATGTGTAGACTGAGTAACCAAGGAAAACATGAATATAAATATTCCTTCATTTAGAACAGCTAATCACTTGCAATGGAAACTACCTATATTTTCATTTAAAATCACTATAGGCTTTCCAAATAAATGCAGTAGATGTAGTAGTGAATTATAATATTAAAAAAATATACCGAAATAGTCCCTTTTAACAAAAATGCTGGTGAGGTTGTTGCTCTGTGAATGTTGAAAGAATTATTTGCATTCTAGAGAGAGAGAGAGAAGAAAAGAGAAACACAAATAGAACTGGTACTATTGAACAAAAACATGGGTTCTCTTATATAGAGAAAGAAAAGAAACAAAGCAGTAAAAATGCAACTGATAAAACAGCTATAATAACTTTTATAACAAACTTAATACAACAATCACACCACCCCCCACCCCCCTCCAGCAAAGTCAAGGTGGATTCTGATTAGCAAGAAGAGGAACCACATTGATTTGTCCCCTGATAAACGTGAAACTAGTCAGTTTGCCAGAGGTTAGTTAACTACTAGCTCAGATACATAAAGCTGATGACATCAATTATTCAGTGTATGTAATTATTTTTCTTTCACTTGTAAAGAAAACACTTTCTCTCAATTATCAGAAATTCCAAGAACCATATTCAGGAATATCAATGGCCATGATATTTAAGAATATAATGGCTTTAACCTGATCAATTGCTTGGTTTGCCCCACAATCCAAAAGCTCTGGAGGTCGATCTGCAGTAAGTAAAATAAGAGGCACAAAATCTTGACTTGCCTCCACAACCTGCAAATTTTGTCAGTCACCTAATTAGATAAAAAATATTACTTGTGTAATAACAAACTTGATTAACATATCCCTCTAGAGAAAGAAAACTACAACTCAAGTTCAGTAAAGAACAGTAAAAAATAAATTAGGTATAAAAAACCTGCCAGATTGATGGAAGAAACACAAGTGTCTAATATTTAATCATATCTTAAATAGGGAAACTTAAATATATATTATTTAGGGATCCTGTATCCTAAAATATTGGCTTAATATTATTATATTATTAAAATAAAATCATCAGTGTTAGAACCCACCATTTCTGTCTAGTTCTTACACCTGAAAATCCGGAAGTTATTTCATATCAATAAGTTCCAATACCGCATGTATTAGCGAACACATAAAGAATAAAAACAAACCAAAACAAAAACAAACCAAAACACAGGCATATAACTAATAAATCATTATACATTCAACATAATTCATGACTATGAGGAAAACCACGTCAAACAAGCAATACTAATGAAACTTACAGCTGGAAGAAGGTTAGAAACTGCTGTGCCTGATGATGTTATGACTACTGCTGGAATGTGAGATCCTCTTCCATATCCAACAGCATGAAATGCGAGTGAACGCTCATCGAAGCATGAAATACAAGTGACTAATTTGTGACTTGCAGCAGCAACAGCAAGAGGGGAAGATCTAGATCCAGGAGCAATACAGAAATACTAAAAGAAAGACTAAATCATAATTGTGTTAATATTGGCACATTTATAACAATTTATCAGATCATCTCACCATCAAACCAAGTCTTGTGCACTCTTCAACAATAAGTGATGCCCAAACAGCATTTATGTTGGCACTTTCTTTCAGTGAGTGCGATGATTCATTGGCATGATCCAACTGATAATGCGAGAGAAGCATAGAAGGACAAATTTCAGACAAATTTACTCATTCTAGCATTATTAAATAAATCCTCAATGCACCACAGAGTAGAAAAACAAATAAATCTTCAATAGCATTACAGAGCAAGAAATAACTTGGATAATGAATAATTCTTATTTTTTTTCTATGGAAAAGGAATCAAATTTCCCAAAAAAACTAAGGTGTTTGTTTCATCAAGTCCCAAAAAACTAATTTGTTCCTAGGTCTTGTTCTTGTTTAATGCCTCCATTTCCACATCCATGGCTTGTTTCCATTTCCAACCAGATAATGTTTCAGATGTAGAAGATGTAGTTATAGAGTTTAGGTTTGGGAAAAGGTTTTGTATGTAGGGGAGATTTTTCAGAGAATGGGAAATTTGATAAGGGTAAAGTGGTTGTTGGGTCTGTTGGGCGCATGTTCTAGTTCCCTTTCTAAGGGCAATGGGAAGGTCTAGGTTTTGGTCCACCTGTGCTTTTGAATTTTCATAGACAAACTCATTAGAATTATAAGAATTTTAATGAGTAGTAGGTTGGATTCTTGGACATGCAGAGATCCTAGAATGATCTTTTCTCTCGTTGAATAAATCGGATTTTTTCCAAATTTTCCACGCTCATTAAGGAGAGTTTTAGTAGCAGGTTCAGGAGGTTTAGGTACAATACATGTAGGTCCAGGAAGTTCAAGTGCAAGTCCAAATTTGGAAGCTTGAGAGGCTCATCTTCCTCTCTTATATTCTCCACCTGAAGATGAGGCTGCTGGAAGTGGTAATTGAAGGTGACATCTATTGACAAAGAATTTCTAAATGGTGGATGTTAAGAAGTGGACTTTAAATCCAACTCAATTCTACAAAACCGATTTGTAATGTAAGATTTGCACCCTCTTATATACTATGAATTGACCTTACTTCTAGTCGATGTGGGATCTCCAACACCCCCCCCCCCCCTCACGCTGAAGTATATATATCTCAAACGTGGGACTAGACATTAATGAACGGTTCGATAGCAAGTGGCATGATAGGCTTAACAAACAACAATCTCGCTAAGATAGGCTCAGACTCCTGGCTCTAATATCATGTAATGAAGTGAACTTTAAACCGGTTTTGTGGAGTTAAGTTAGGCTTAAAGTCCACTTCTTAAAAGTGGGTGGTAGCATTTATATTTGTTTTTGTAGTTAAGTATCCTAAAAAAACAAACTCGACAACCCTAGGATCCAATTTTCCCCTTCCATTACTATGAATATGCACAAAGGATACACACCCAAATATTCTAGGTTGGAGTTTATTGTCAAGGTCTATATATGGGTAGAACGATAGGACTTCCATGGTACTCTTTGATCCTAAGATTTTAGAGTGTAATCTCTTGATGAAATAAGAACCTGTACGAAGGCCTTCCCCCTAAAATTTCTTAGGAACATGAGATTGAAAAGGTAGTGTTCAAATTTGTTCTAGTAAGTGCTCACTTTTTCCTTTAGCAATTTCATTCTGTTGAGATGTGTCAACACATGAAGACTCATGGATTATCCCCTCTTTTGGCGAAAAGAGTTGAACCCAAAATTAAAGTAGTCTTTGACATTATCAGACCTAATTCTCTTAATATTTACTCCACATTGAATCTAAATCATTGCAACAAACTATTTAAAAGCATAACTAACCTCAAATTTGTCTTTCAGTAGGACAACCCAATTCACCTAGTGATAAAAAGGGATAGGGATTTGTCCCCGGTTTCCATCCCAAAATTCATGATCTTAGTCATTTAGGTGGATTATGCAGCAATAAAGGCTGAAATAGCGATCAAAGTAGTAATGAAGGACGCAATTTTATTTAAGGGGGTGCAGCAATGAAGGCTGCATTTTAGGATTGATAGACAAGATGAAGACTCCCAAAGATTGGGAGCTCTAATACCATCTCAAATTTAGAAAGAATAATACATTTCTTCTCTATTACAATAATGAGGCCATTAGGCCTATAAATACATGAGCCTGCTAGTCATTTGAAATATGTATTTTTGTTATTATTTGGAATAATTAGTTATTTTATTATGATGATATAATTTGTTTTTAATATATATCAAGGTCAATCAATTCAATTAGTGACCCACCTAGTTTGACCACTGACCCATTGAGCTAGTGCCTCAACTGGGTTGATAACCAAGTAGGTTTTCACAACATTGGATATTTGTTTCCTTATTTTACAATCATTGTTTTATTTTTTCTTTTTAAGCATAGTCAATTACCCTTAAAAAGGGAAGATTAGTGAATGCCCGGAACATTTGTTCAAAAATGAAGAGGAGGGCTATCAAAGTTTGTTGGAACAGTTAGGAAGAATAGCTTGAATAAAGATAAGATCCAAATATCCAATTTACATCTTATTTATGACAAGGTTTTGCTAAACCCATTTTTTTATTTTCTATTTTTTGTATGCAATAAATTGATTGGTTTTCCCTCACTTACTTGGCCTTTATACTCTAGCCTAATATGACTATATCTGGATAAGAGATAAAGCATTATATATTTGCAATGAAATTACAATATACCATATTGTTTGAAAGAGCAAGGGTTGCTGATAGCCTTAAACAAAATTGACTGCAAGATGGAGACTCTCTCTGCAATAGAAGTGAATGAAATTGGAAATGTGCAATTATGCATAAGAGTGAAGAAACATACACTAATGGAGGAAAATAACTAAATTTAATATTAATAACAGAAAAAGTGAAAACATAAAAAATGAAAAATGCACTGGAAAAATAGAATACCAGTTCCGTGATGTCACTTAAACATTCTCTTCCTCCCTGTGCAATAGTATTCATGTAGACCTGGCAATTCATGCAGATCACAAATAAACAACTTGGAGCAAGTTTTTGATAGATCAGGAAATATTTTTTGCCTTAAAAAATATTGGAATATGAGCATTGCATTAATTAACAGAAAAAAAAAATGAGCTCGTAAACACTCAACAATATAAACCAAAAACAACTTTAAATTTCAAAAATGAACAAAAGGAAGAATATCCAGACTGTTGAATTTCAGAGAAAGACATCAAACTAACTCAAACCTCGTTAAGTTTCACACTCAGCTCAAGATACCGTGTTAAATTTCAGAGAAAGACATGCAACTGAATCAAACCAAAAGATTTACTGTATTACAACTGAATATTGTAATTGAAATTAGTTACACCTAACATGAATCGCCCATCTATAGATGACAAGAACAAAACAGAGGGTTGGCTAACTGAACCTGAAAACCTAATAAAGGACCAAAGGGAAACAATCTATCACAGAAAAATGTATGTGTAGGATAGCCAACTCTAATGTAGAGGAACAGAGTTTTTTTAACTAATTTGATCCCTTTTGACATTTCTTATTAAAGTTCAAAAAAGGGTTAATATTGTTAGGATTATATTTGAGTTAGAATTAGACTGCCTGATGCATGGTACATAAATTTGGTCCCATATCATTATAGTATATGAATCGAATACTGATAGATTCGAATAAGACTGTCATTGCATTTGAGATGCAGTCTATACATGATTTTTGGCTACTAGAAATGATTTGATAATGATCCTCACCTTTCAATGACTCAGTGTGCCCCTTTCGTGCATTGGAGTTCTCTTCCTCTAACATCTCTGTTCTTGCTACAAAATAAAAACAAAGCCTTTCTTTATTTGCTTTTCTACATTGCCTCGTGTAGTCACTCCATCCAAAATCACCCCTACCAGTCATAATTCTAATATTCATCAAACTTCTACTTTCAATTTTAATATTTACCTTCTATGAATCTGTGACTTTAATTTCCAGAATTTTCGACAATGTATTCATTTTTATTTTTTTTTGGTATCAGTACATCCTTCTTTAGCCCCTTAGAATTAAAAAAATATCATTTTAGTCCCTCAATTTTAGTAAAATATAGTTGTAGTTCTTAAACACTAAATTTGAGAATTAGAAACTCATTTTAGTCCTTCACATGTAATGTTTAGGGACTAAAATGTTATATTTTTTAATTTTGAGAGACTAAAATAAACGTTTTCAATTTTAAAAGACCAGGATTAGAATTACCTTAAATTTTGCAGTTTAAAAGCATAAATTAATTATGTTTTTATTATATAATATAATGATTGTAACAAAAAAGCTAAAACATGTTTTTAGTTCCCCAAATTTGGGCCACTTTTTCTTTTAGTTCTCCAATCTAAAAATTATTTTAGTCCCAGAATTTCAGAATATCCTCCTTTTGATCCCCTCAATACTAACACTCCTTGTTGACATGGCTATTGACATTGATGTCAACGACGGCATATGTAACTAAACTAATGGCGGAGAAATTTATTTCTTAGATATTTTGGCTAAAATATCTTTTTAATTCCTCAAATTTAGGTCAAATTTTATTGTATTCATCCAACTTTAAAAATAATTTTCTGATCCCTCAAATTTAAAATTGGTTTTTTTAGTCTGTCAAATTAAAAAAAAAAATGAATTAGCATCTCTAATTCCAAACTAGTGTGAAACTTTGGTTTTCTAAGATAAAAACTTATGTCAAAACTATTCATGAAAAAAGGAACAAGAAAGGTAGAAGATAAAAAGGGACTGCATCATTGTTGTCATAGTGGTAACTAAGGGATATACTCAAGTTTATGGCCTCAACTATTGTGATTCTTTTTCTAATGTGGCTAAAACCAGCACTGCTCGTCCTTTCCTTGCTATGGCTACCATTCATCAATGGTCACTTTACCAGTTGGACACTAAAAATGCCTTTCTTCATGGTGATTTGGAAGAAGAGATAAACCTGGAGCAACCTCCTGAGTTTGTTGCGTAAGGGGAGTCTAAGTTAGTTTGTAAACTACATTGTTCACTCTATGGCTTAAAGAAATCACCTCAAGCTTGGTTTGGTAAATTGAGTCGTGTTGTGCAGAATTTTGGATTGATGTCACTAGAATTGCTCAATTAAAGAATCATTTGATTAGTCACTTTCAAACCAAAAATCTAAGTCATCTACAATATTTTCTTGGTATTGAAGTGGTACAATCAAAAGAAGGTGTCACCATTTCACAAAGAAAATATGCTCTTGATATTTTGGAGGAAAATGGCCCAACAAATTACAAGCCCATTAATAGTCCTATGAACTCAAATCAAAGAGTTAATGAGAGACCAAGGTGAACTTTTCTCAGACCCAAAGAGATATAGAAGGTTGGTTGGAAAACCCATCTATCTTACCATAACAAGACCTAATCTTTCTTCTTCGGTGGGAGTTGAGTCAATTCATGCAAAATCCCCACATTCATCATGGAATGTTGTGATTCGCATTCTCAAATATGTAAAAGGAAACCCAGGACAGGGATTGTTATATGAGAACAAGGGAAGTACTTAAGTCGAAGGATATTGTGATGCAAATTGGGTTGGTTGTCCAATTGACAGAAGATCTACCACAAGATATCATGTATTCCTTGGAGGGCACCTTGAATCTTGGAAAAGTAAGAAACAAAGTGTTGTTGCTCGATCTAGTGCAAAAGCGGAATATCGATCTATGGCTCTAGCTACATGTGAACTTGTGTGAATTAAACATATAGAAATTAGTTGTCATTTTGTTAGAGAGAAGCTACTGTCCAAAGATCTTATTACTGAGTTTACCAGCTCTAATGAACAACTTGCAAACAATCTGACTAAATCTCTAAAGGGGCCTATAATTTAATTTATATGTTTCAAGCTTGGTGCAATGATCTATATGCTCCAGCTTGAAGGGAAGTGTTGAAATGTAATGCTTCTTTATTATTATTATTAATGTATGGGAACCCAACTATTAGGTTAGGGTTTAATCAAGTGCCTTGACCTTTTGTATTCTACTCCTTTGTACTCTATAAAGACATTAGTATAATTGTAACAATGTAATAAGAAAATACGATGTTTGACTTCATTCAAATTCTTCAAGTTGATTAGTAAAAGTGATAATAGACTAGACAACAACTACTTCCAAGATTGCATGGCTAAGGCAACTGATCTAACTATACAAAACATGTTACTTTCCTACTCTTAACGTCATGTAGGTATGATGTAAAATGCAACACATGAGCAACCTGAATGACAAATTTGGAGACACTTAGGATACTAGAGTAAAGCAACAATCAAGGAAGTAACAACTAGTTGTTTCAAGAAAAGCTTACACATTATGGAAGAAATTAGCTTATACCCTTGGAATGGATCTATCTTCAACCAAATTGAGTTTTCTGAGAGCACCTCTAGTGCATTTGGATTTCCCTCTGTCGATAGTAGACCAAACATGACACATAACCTACACCATAAGAAATATAATATCAAGCATGAATACAGATGAGAATTTATATTTTTTTTTTCATTTTTTTCATAACAAAAGAAAGGATCCTCTAAATGATATGAAACAAAGTGAAAGGCCCGATGAAACCATAATGAAAGGTTGCTTTTTCATTAAAAAATAAAAATAATTCATTTCTTAACTTTCAGAAACTGACATAGTGAAACCATAATGAAAGAAACTGATAAAGAAAACATAATTTACTGTTTACTTTTAAGAATTCCAATTTATTTGAAAAATGATAGAAGCAAGGGGGAACGTAAAATACATATATGGTGATATAAGTCTGTATACTGAAATACAAATGCAAAGATAATGAATTATTACTTTGAGGAATGAAAATGGATGAGGAGAAAATGAGAAAGCAGTAAGAGGATGAAAGGATTTTGAGGATTGGTTTTGCTGAATTCTTTTGTTACTCTCGCTCATTGTGTTATTGAGCACGATTTCTTCCTCTGTAAAACAAGTTCCTAATCCTATCAACTTTAATCAATTTCCCAATATTAAAACCGGTTTCTAATCTTGTCAAAATTTAAGGAGCAACAACAATGCAATCTTGGATTTATACACTTAAATATTGGAATTTCCCCAGTCTAGTTTCATTTCAGTGCATAGTTCATTAAATTGGGTCTATGCATTAGCATTACTCGCACTTCATGTCCATAGGGCTATTAAGAGTGAATATGTGTTATGTAAAACCACTCAAGAACTATACCAAATTGCTTACACTTTAAGTTGGTTTGTAACAAGACCGCAAAGACTTGCCTATATTATGTTAGTGTTAGTACAATGAAGGTAAAGGTAAAGGTAAATAATCAAAACAAAGACCTAAACGATAACATAAAGGCACTCGGGCACCTGGTCTAGAGAAACTTCAAGCAAATAATAGGCTTCTTGAAAAGTGGACTGGGAAAATTCATCCCATGCAAGGGACATTGTCAGAACGGAAACACTTTCCAGCTCATCCAACTCAATCTGCCATCACAAAATTTGCAGATATTAACGAAAGCAGCGAACAATATTACGTGCATGTTTTGAGCAAACTCCATTATAACCACTTATAAAAGAGAAAAATGATATTAGTTTCTCCATAACTTAAGACTAGTTTATGCATGACATAAAATTCAGATTTGGGAGAAGTTAATAAAAAATAACTTCTACAAATTAGCTCACGTATAAGCCAAAATTAGCTTGTGGAGAAGCCTATTTCATTTTTCTTTCTTCTTTTTTTTTCTGAAAAGGCTTATGGAGAAGATTCTCCAAACAAAGCCCGTGACAATGAGGGTACATTACAAAGAATTATTCAAAAGCTATTAAACTGTTGATTAACATTACCTGAGGGATGAAAAACCAAAAAGATCCTTCCTGGTGACTCACATTACCATCATCCAAATTAACATCCATAAAACCATAGGCCACTACATTGGTGGAATCAGATGACACATATCTGCAGAAAGAAAAGTTTGTGCTAGTCCGTGATTAGTTCATAATTCTAACCAAATAGAATAATGCAGAGAGTGGGAATATTAACAGAAAAAAACCTATTGACGAAAGTGCGGTGGTTTGAGGTTGGAGGGAGAAAGGAAACAGCGGCACCGATGGCACAAACGCCGCGGGCTCCGTTGACGTAGAGCGACTTAGGATCGGCATTGTGCTTGGAAAGGTAAGCAAGAGGGAAGACGGAGGAGGAGAGGGGTTGAGAGCAGAAGAGAGCTAAGGCCTTGGAACCAGGAGGGACTGCGACCTGAAATCGGAGGAATCCAGTAGAGGAAGGAGGCCTCTGCAACTTCAACGTGTGGAGAGCGTCCTTCAATTTCTCGAGCCCCTCCTCCAATGTCAACGCCGGAGATAGAGTCCGCGTCACGCACTGCTCGAAGAGCACTTCCTTCTCCAGAACGTCGCCGTTTAGGGGCACCGGTCCATCAAACCTCACTCCGACGACTCCGGCAACCTCACTCCGGCTCGCGCCGTTCCTCACTCTGGCACTTCGCATTCCGATTCCGAAATTACAGGCACCACCCTCAACCATAAACATTTCGCTATTGCTGACACTCCATCTTCCCAACGCCGACACTGCCAAAATCATGGATAACGGATAAGAAACTCACTCTCACTCTATCTGTTATTTTCCTAGTTAGCACTGTCATTTAACATGTGACACATAAATTTGACTTGTTTTGTAAGAACCATTAAAAAACGACTGTCGGGTTATACTTAAAAAAACATTTTAATTTATATATATATATATATATATATATATATATATATATATATATACATATTTATATTCGAATATGTTGAAAAAAAAAATCTTATTTATAAAATAACATAAAAATATTTTAATAATTTTTATTTTTAATACTCTTAACTTCAAAATTTAAAATATTTTTGTCAATTAAAATTTAACAGTGAGTTGTACAAATTAATTAACTCTATGTATGTATATATATATATATAATATGATAATTGCTTTTAGTAACCTTTCCATAATCGTTTTTTATATACATTATTTATTTTACTCTTATTAATGTGGTATAAAATTTGGAATCCTAATTATAAATATAAAAATATTTTCTAATCTTAACATAAAATTTAAGATCACAATGGTAAATAGGCGAATTTATAAAAATAGCGTTATTTTTCTTTGAATATATGAAAATATGGAAAAAAATTTAAAATTTTTGCTTAGGGTCGACATTGATTGAATTGTTGATGGCTAGTTGAATTGTTTGTACACACTTTCAATGATATGGTGTATTTGTCGGAGGGGGCTTGTTACTGCATGCACCCACTCTGCCGTGGAATCCGTTACCGGAAAATAAAAATAGGTCTTTCAACGGTGGCACTTGTTCCAACCAATGTTTGCTCTGACCTTTCTCTTCCAGCCAATGACCATGGATGAACGAGGACGAAAATGAAAGTTGCATGGAGTTCTTAAGGGACATGGAACTGGTGCAGGGCGTGGCATTTGGCTTGCTAGTGCTGTTGTTAACGATGGGCAGTGTTGTTGTCATGATGACCATGAGGTTATGGAAGGTGGACGAGAGTTTCGCGAAGACATGCAACAAGAGGCAGAAGCCCCGAATCCAGGGGTAAGAATCAGATTAAGTCCTTAGCCAAATCCAACCCTTCTGATCCTAAGCTTTTTTCTAACCATTATTGCACCCTAGTTCCGACCAACACATTCCAATCTTTAGTCCAGTCCAAACCTTTTCTTCTTTAAATAAGGTCAAGACATTTAAACCTACGATCTAATCCAACTCATCTCGATTTCATGTCAACCCGTCCCAACCTTGGATAGGTTTATCTTAACAGTAGGTCTAGGTCAACCCATCTAAAGTTTCGACATAAGTCAACAAATCTCGATTTCATCATAGGGAAACTGTCTCAACTTTGGGCAAGAACTACGTTATCTTCAATTTCCCGACTTTTTTTTGGTTGACTTATCTTGACTAGGTCTGAGTCAACCTCTTTAAACTTTCAACATAAGTCAACCTTTCAAAGTGGGCAAGCTCGTCTCAACGTTGGGCAAGAATCAAATTATTTTCAATTTCGACGTAACCCGAACCATCTCACATTTTGTCTTGATTGACATTCCTAGGTCAGTCAGTCTCGATGTATCTCGACTTTTACCTTGGGTTGGGCCATTTTGAACATAGACAAGGTTGGCTCGACTTGACATTCAATTCAACTTGACCCGTTTGGCCTTTTGGCCTATCATCTCGACTTCTAATTTGAATAAGCATGTCTTGACCTTCAATCAAACTGCCCAAGGTTTGCCTTTAGTCCTGGTAGAGTCATCTTGACCTTCAATCCACGTTGACCCATCTCGAACTTCATTCTGAGTCGACATGAGTCGACCTTTAGCCTAAGTAGGTAGACCAATCTCAATCTTCATCCCATGTTGCACCAGTCTCAATCGTTGACCCAGGCCAACCTTCTCGAAAAAATTTTAGCCAAATTTCGACGACGGTACGACTCAGTTGAATTTTTGCGAATTTTTCCAAGAGTTGACTTTGTCGAATTCGACAAAATTTTGGTTGGGGACGACTTAGCCAAATTCTCCCAAATTCAGGCTAGGGTAAAATCAGGTGAATTGGGTCGAATTTCGGTAACGTCGACTTAGCCAAATTTCATTTGGGGCCTACTAGGCCGAATTTGGTCAAATTTGGGTCATAGTCGACTTGACCGAATTTTGCCAAATTTCAACCAGGAATGGCTCGACTAAATTTCGCCAAATTTTGGAATGGAACGACTCGGCTAAATTTCACTAAAATCTGGCCAAGGTCGACTTAGTCAAATTTTCTGTTGGAAGATTGTGGAAAGGGTGTAGGTAAAGTACAGGAATGGTGTACGAAAGGTGTAGAAAAGAGTGTAGGAATTATGTAGGAATAATGTAGGAAGAGTTTAGGAAGAGTGTAGGAAGGGTTTAGAAAGGGTGTAGGAAGAGTATATGAAGTGTGTAGGAAGAATGTAAGAAGAGTGTAAGAAAGGTGTAATAATGATGTAGAAATTGTGAAGAAAGGTGTAGGAAAGTTGTAAGAAAGGTGTAGAAAAGTTGTAGGAAGAATGTAGAAAGTGTGTAAGAAGGATGTACGAAGAGTATAAAAGGGTGTATGAACGATATAGGAAGAGTTTAAAATGGTGTATGAAGGGTGTATAAGGGTGTAAAAAGAGTGTAAGGTGTAGGAAGGGTGCATGATAGGTGTAAAAGAGTTTGGGAAGCGTGTAGGAAGGGTATATACAAAGGATGTAATAAGAGTGTGAGGTGTACGGTGTAGCAAGGGTGCAAAAAGTGTGTAGTAAGGGTGTGGAAAGAGTGTAAGAATGGTGTACGGAGTAGGGTGTAGAAAGAGTGTACGAAGGGTGAGAAAGAGGGTAAGAAAGGTGAAAAAAGGATGTAGGGTGTGAGAAAGGTGTAAGAAGGATGTAAAATAGGTGTAGTAGAAAGATGTAAGAAAAGTGTATAAGGACTGTGGGAAGGATGTAAGATGGGTGTAAGAGAAGTGTAAGAATTATGTAGAAAGAGAATATGAAGAGTGTATGAAGGTGTAGGAGAGGTGTATCAATGGTGTATGAAAGGTGTAGAAATGATGTTGGAAGGTTGTAGAAGGGGTGTAAGAAAAATTGTAGAAAGAGTGTAGGAATTATGTAGAAATGATGTAGGAAGAGTTTAGGAAGAGTGTAGGAAGGGTTTAGAAAGGGTGTAGGAAGAGTATACGAAGTGTGTAGGAAGAATGTAAGAAGAGTGTAAGAAAGGTGTAATAATGATGTAGAAATTGTGAAAAAAAGTGTAGGAAAGTTGTAAGAAAGGTGTAGAAAAGTTGTAAGAAGAATGTAGAAAGTGTGTAAGAAGGATGTAGGAAGAGTATAAAAGGGTGTATGAACGATATAGGAAGAGTTTAGAAATAGTGTAAGAACGGTGTATGAAGGGTGTAAAAAGAGTGTAAGGTGTATGAAAGGTGCATGATAGGTGTAAAAGAGTTTGGGAAGCGTGTAGGAAGGTATATACAAAGGATGTAATAAGAGTGTGAGGTGTACGGTGTAGGAAGGGTGCAAAAAGTGTGTAGTAAGGGTGTGGAAAGAGTGTAAGAATGGTGTACGAAGTAGGGTGTAGAAAGAGTGTACGAGAGGTGAGAAAGTATGTACGAAGGGTGAGAAAGAGTGTAAGAAAGGTGTAAAAAGGATGTAGGGTGTGAGAAATGTGTAAGAAGGATGTAAGATAGGTGTAGTAGAAAGATGTAAGAAAAGTGTATAAGGACTGTGGGAAGGATGTAAGAAGGGTGTAAGAGAACTATAAGAATTATGTAGAAAGAGAATATGAAGAGTATATGAAGGGTGTAGGAGGGGTGTATAAATGGTGTATGAAAGGTGTAGAAATGATGTCGGAAGGTAGTAGAAGGGGTGTAAGAAAAGTTGTAGAAAGATTGTTGGAAGGATATAGAAAGTGTGTAAAAAGGTGGTAAGAATAATGATAAGAAGGTTGTAGGGTGTAGAGTGTAAGATGGGTGTAAAAAAGGTGTATGAAAGGTGTATGAGGATTGTAAGAAGGGTGTACGAGATGTGTAGGAATTGTGTAGAAAGAGAATAGGAAAGAGTGTAATAATGTGTATAAAGGGTGTAAGAAAGGTGTAAAAATGATGTAGAAAGAATGTTAGAAGGTTGTAGGAAGAAAATAGAAAAGTTGTAGAAAGATTGTTGGAAGGATGTAGAAATAGGGTAAGAAGGTGGCAAGAATGATATAAAAAGGTTGTAGAGTATACAGTGTAGAGTGTAAGACTAGGGTAAAAAAGATGTAAGAAGTGTAAAATGAGTATAAGAAATGTGTAAGATTGGTGCATAAAGGGTGTAAAAGGTATTTTTGACCATTACTGAAAGTTGCGTCAAGAGGAACAGTTTGAGACTGAATCTGTCCAGTTTAAACTGTCAGTGCAAAGTCTATCATACACTATTTTCAAAATTTTATGAAAATCTTAACTATACAATAAAACCCTTCTTTGCACAAGCCTTATCATGAGTTATTTCCATGCTGTATATTTGTAATGATATGTATTTTTGAGGTTTCATTAGATTGGTCCTATAGATACATTCATACCTCCCAACAATGTTCTAGAATCTAGAATTTATAATTTTCTAGAATCTAGAAGTATTTTCCATAATTATTGTAGAAAGTATTTGTGGAACTGAGTAACGTATAAATTTCCATGTATTAATATAACAGTTGTTTTGGTTCGTGGTAAAATTGTACATTGACATATAGTGAACACTTGGTTTAACATGCATGCTTTCTATACATTGATTTTAATTTCTTCTTTTTCAGTAATATTTTTCTATACAAGATAGAATTTGAGATCATCTATAATACTGGTTTGTCGCAATTTTGACAATGCAATTCCATTAATCTGTCTGATTCTCTCCCTTGACAACTGCATCATTCCTCCTATCTCCTTGAAAGAGCGAGGGGTATCTCCATTCAGTCCATAGTGCAATGTCACAATCTCTGCTTCTCTCTTGCTAAGTGTGTTAAGAAGATCCATCACTTCCTCCTTCATTAGTTGCTTCTTAACCATCTTCTCTGGAGTCATGTCCTCTGGCCCTGCTATAATCTCCTGATCAAAGTTTTCATCAACATGTTAAACATAAATTTCTAAATTGAGTGCTCAGAATTCAAGTATAAATTGAAAGTTCCATGTTCACGAAGTTGAATAGTATATAACAAAAACAAAACCCTAAACACCATGCTTTAAGATTTTAGGTTGAAATTAGTATTGGGCTAATTTTCTTGGTCTATCCCAATAAAAAATATTCCAACACCAAGTTTGCAGAAGTAACTGAAATCTTACTTTTAAAATCAGATGTTTTTTTACTAAAAATAATCTAAGTCTATTATAAATCTAATTGTGAATCTAATATTAAATATAGAATAAAGAAGTTAAGAATCATATAAGAATGAAGAGTCATAAACAAAAACCAATCAAAAGTGTGAGGTTTATTAAGGGAGAGGTTCATTGGGAAAGAGATACAACAAGAATGAGACTTAAGCCAAGTCTTCAAAGATTTGCTTTTGATATTACTCTAAAAAGTCTTTCATTAACAGAGGTATCTTATATGTATATAAACTCATATCCATCTCTTGTTTTATCTTACGTGAGACTTTGTTTGTATCCTAACAAGAAATTGATACAATATGTTATAACTTACATATGAGTGAATAAGTTATTAAACCTGAAGTGTCATGTGGCCACAATCAGTTACAACTTTGTCCAATGAAATTGGTGCTCTGCTCTTTTCAGAAACAAGCCTAACAGTGGAAGCCTTCACATTGAGCACTTTAGCAGTTTCATCGTATGTGGGCTTTCTCTTCAGTGTTGTGCTCAAGATATTGTTGGCCTGAGCAACTTTGGCCACCATCTCACACTTGCCACCCTGTAAATCACAGACTAACCAACCATTCATAATAACTAGTCCACTTTTTAAGTCTTTCTGTGTCAAGAGCTGCTTTAAAAATCTTATGTTATGTTATTGTTCATAAATTAGTTTATTACTCAAACACTTTGGATAATAAGTAAGAACAAGATGAATCAAAGCCTCACCGGTAATCTCACTAATCTGGACTTTCTGGCTACGGCTTTAATAATGGCTTGCTTAATCCACCAGTAAACATATGTGGATAGTTTATATCCTCTCTCTGGCTCAAATTTCTCTGCTCCTCTAAGAAGTCCAATGGTTCCTTCCTGGAAAAATAATTTAGCTTACACGTTTAATTTAGTTCCATAAGTGTATGAGATTCTGAAAATTTGGTCCCAATACACAAAAACTTATCAAAACTATTCATGTGCAGAGATCAAATTGAAAATTATTCTATGACACAAATAAGGACTGGTTGACAAGTCTTTCAAGGGAGATTAGTTATACCACCAACGTGTTTATCACATCACTTACCAAAACAAATAATTGACTTTAATATCATCAATGAATCTCTAATATCGTCAATGAATCTTTAAAAGGAGATTCACAAAAGAAATACAATACCAATAAAATCTGAGTTCAATCTATATAAAGGATTGACGTCACTTTCAATCAAAAACTTTAAAATATTAGGATTATAGATCTTCTTTTTTACAGGGAGTTCAATTTTCTTATTTCTATTTAATTCGATAAGTGACTTAAGATCACATTTGGATTTCTAGAACTACTGTTGTAAAGAAATGTAACAAATAGTGAAATACTAAAATAAAGAGGCACCTGAATGAGGTCTTGAAGGCTTAATCCTTTGCCTTGATACCCTGCTGCAATAGAGGTAACTAATCCGCGATAGTCATGAGCCAGTCTTTCTTTTGTTTGTCTTTCATTGCACAGAGCCTTATCTAGACTAAGTACGGACCTTCTTGTGATTGCAGAAGGCTCTTCAAGCCCTTTGGTTTTTGGCTTAGCAACTTCAGTCTTTGCTCCCTGCTGCTAGTTATTATGCAATACAAACAAACATTATGATTCCTTTTGAAATGAAACTCAACTCAGCCACCATCAAAATCCCTTGATGTAAAAACCTTAGTTTCATTCTTTTTATCTAACAATATTTATGAAAAAGTTTTCCCGTAGATATTTTTCTAACCACAGATATGCAGTGTAGAACTTATATAATAAATACATAAACAGGAGAATCTCATAAAGGGAAGAAAAACATCTTAGGAAGAAAATTAAGCTGCCAAATAGTTTTATTACTTGTGGTGTTTGTGTGTTATCCGAGGATACCCTGAGACCTAAACAAAGCTCTGCTTCTTCCCTTGAGCTCAAAAACCAAGATTTTCTAAACCCAACTATGCTCCCATTTTCACTGTTTCCAATTACAGACACCTCTGTCTGGACAGCAGCATTGACCAGTGTAACTGCTTCTGTTGCTGTATCACTGTTGGTGCCAAACTTAGTAGGTTGAAGAGAAGGGTGCATTGGAAAGGTGGGAAGAGAAGAAAGGGACATGCTGGAGATGAGCATATTCTAACTTAGGCCATGGAAGAACAACTGAGACAGATATTTCAAATATAGTGTCTGCTGTGTGGGGCAAAACAAAAGGCATGAAAAAAGTATCTACTTTTGTGGATATCATTGACACAATTATGCAGTGTGCTATGGCTACTATGTTAGGCCAAATTATTCATTATCACATTTGTCTCTTCTGTTCTAAAAATGTGGCAGCTTAAATTAACGAAACGATAGTTTCTCAAAGGAAATAAAAAAATGTTTATATTTTATCTCGTTAATGTAAAACAAAAGTATGCTATGAGTTCACATTGAATATTGATTTTACACTATAATCAAATTATAGATCAAGATATATATAAAGTTTTGTTGACTTTTAAAATAATTATTCTAAAATTATACCGAGAACAATGTATGTATACGAGGCATTTTCTTTGCAAATTCAATAATTTGTAGAAGCTTAAATATTTAATTTTTGTTATTACAGCTGTTTATTTTTTTTTCTCAAATAATATAATATTTTTATGAATTGAGACAATTTATGGGGGTTTGATATCGTCATAAATTGATTTTGAACAAACATTCTTAAGAACTTTATGAATTTTAAGAACTTTGAGAGGTGGAGAGTAAAAAAAAAGAATGCGTATCGGCTCTCCTTTATCAATCTTACAATTTCTCAACAGAGACTTACCGATTCAAAGTTTCAAATTCATTTTAAGGGTAAAACTAGGTTATATCATGAATGCAATAGAAATATGTTTTCACACTTCACAGTAAGTAATCAAACTCAAGTATGGTTTCATGTTTCAATTTTCAATGATTTGGATCACGAATTTATAATATTACACTATCAATTACATTCTAGTCTGACTTATGTAGGTTATGGAGGATATACAAAGATGCAGACGATAAGAAAATACAAACTGAATAACTTAGTAAATCCAATCCAGTTGCAATGGTAACCATTTTGCTCCTCTCAAACATCTTTACCAGAAGAATCATGACAATAACATGTCCCACCTTTGTTTTCAATTCATCAAGTGAGCATATTTTCATCCACTTAGGCCTCTCCTGAAAAAGATAACTAATACATTCACTTTCTTTTCCAATATATAAAAATCATGTCAATTAATTAAATGGAAGTTGGATAGTATTTAGCATTGAATGATGCTAGAAAATGAACAAAGCTTGCCATAAATATACATAAAACTGAAAGACGGTGGATTAAGAAAATTTATGAGATAATATCATTAGGTGACATTGGCTTTGTTGGAGTTTATCATTGAAAAAAAGTTAGGAAATGTAGAAAACTGATCTCCTTATTTGTGTTTTATGTGTTTTAGGGGCACATAAAGGAGTCCCAGGGCGCTTTATTTTTGTTAAACTAATGGAATGTTTAGTTATTTAAGTTATGTTAGATGTAACTGGCTTAGACTCATTTGTTTGTAAATTTCTATATAATATATTACGGATGCAGTCTATATCTCTCTCTCCCTTATTTTAACATGTCAAAATATCCAATGCATACTTCTTTAACAAATAATGATTCCATTCTTGGATTGTGCTACCTCAATCTCCAAAATGTATGAGTTTGCTAAACTAGAAGATGTTTTTGCTAAATCATTATCATAATTGATTATATTTGTAACAAGTCGCTACATGTAATTTATATGTACTAGGAAGTGTTAGATATAATGGGCTTGGGTTCATCTCTTTGTATTTTTCTATTTATAAATGCATAACCTTAAGTGCTATACACACTAGGGATTCAGCTTATGCCCCAGTCTCTTTTATTTTAACAAGTTAGTTTACTTGTGTCAATAATAATATTCAGTCATGGGTTTATTCTTATTTTGGAAAATTTATACTCTATACGTAGTGGGAACATATTATTTTGCTAACAAATGAGTTGTCATTTCTCATGAATTTACCCTTAAAAATGATTTAGAGTATGAAATACAATTTGATTGTGCAACAACTAAAAAAAATTACTCTGTTTCTCTTTACTATTCTTTTCTTTTCATGTTATGGTTTTGTTTTCCGTTTTCATGATATGAGTTATCTTCCTTTGACACATGTTATGTTGTCATGTTGGCGTACATTATCAAAGACCTTCTCAAGATGTTGGGTATGTTGTTCAATGATGGTCGATTTAAAGACCATTTCGTCAACATACAACTCAATTATTGTCAATGAGTTCCCAACCTAAAGAACATAGAGTTCAACAGCTTTCTCCTTACATTAACTACAAAGACAGTGACTAGAACAATCACCTAACTCATCACCACGCTATTCTTTTACACTGAAAATACCAATTTTCTAAAATGAATGTCATTTGTATGTTCTTGATAATAAAAATATAAGAGAAGTGTGGTATAGTTATTACTATTTTAGGGTTATGTAATTTACCTTCATAGCAAACATTCCAAACAAAGAGGACCCTGTAAGGGCACGGTCTACAGTAGGTGGAACATCAGGAGGAATATTGCTTATGAACAATCCGTATAAGCCCATACCAAAAATCAACATAACTGTACCAGCAAGATAAACATCTGCAGCAGCAAGTAAAAGCGGTTAAGTGCAAGTAGTAAACATAATCTTATCTGAAATTGGGACCAAATTTAGAAGTAAAAAGGGCTTCCCCTTCAGAAAAGCAATAAATTACCAATTGCTTCAACCAACCGCAGAACCATCTGTCCACTGTGAACTCCTTTAACACAGCTTGTCCAATAGACTTTGTATGCATCAATAATGTAAATACAACCCTAAAATGATCCAGTATTGTCAGATATATGTACGACAATGTTTGTCATCATGATTAACTGTAAACTTAATTATATGTTTACTCTCTGAAATTTAAAATAAATTTGATTTTAGTCTGCCGAATTAAAAAAAAACAATAGTTCCTCATTAATAAAAATATATCTAATGTCTAAATATTAAACTGGAGACATCAAAATATTTTTTTTTTCAAAATTATTTTTAGTCATAGTCAATAAATTTGAGGAACTAATTTTTCTTTTTCAATTTGAAGGATCAAAATAATTGTAGCTTCTAAATTTGGAAAATCTTATAGATCTAGGGTTAAAGACGTATTTGGACATTATGTATATAAACATGGTCTTTTGAGATGATTTATTGGAAAGTTACGGCATGAGATATGATTCTAACTTCCATAAGATATTGATATTACTTTAAATCCGAAATCAGAAAACAATACGTTCATAAGTATTTATTCTTATATATGATATTTAACTTTCTCACATTTTATTCAATGTAGTACTTAGACCCATTTAAATTTCCAACAAACATGATACAATGTTTTTCAGTCACATTGGTGATACCATCTAAAGCAAAGTAAGGTTGTTCACTTAATAAAGAGACATAATTTATGTTTCATACCAATGGTGATAAGATCTAAGTATAACTACAAAATACCTACATTAAAGTGGTTGGGAGGTGATAGGATCAACCTAAACAGTTCTAGAAGGAAAATTAAGTAGCTTAAAATTTATAAGAAGGTTTTAGGATATAAATAAACAAAAAGGTAAAATGAACTACCCTTTGTCATGAAATCTAACACTCACACTCTTTTTGCATTTAAAACAGACACGCACTTCTTTTATAATTTTAATAGAACAGCATTCTAATTCTTCTTTTAAGTAAACATTCATCTTTACTATATTTTTAATAAATGATAATGTTTTGATAAATGTTATTAGTTTTCCTTATATTTTAATGAAATAGCACTTATTTTTCTTATTTCATTTTAAAAATTAAAGTTTTAAAATATAAATTAATCATTTTTATAAAAAATAATGATTTAATTAGTAGAAAAATTCTTCTCATCATTCTTAAGGTCTTGTTAAATAAAGTTCAAACATTATTAGAAGGAATTCTGTAATCAATGCCCCACCAAATGCCTAAACTCATTGGACCAACCACAATATTAGTCTGGATATTATTATTTTGACACCTAACAAATATTCAGGTACACTTTATCTCTACTATTTTACCTTTCAATCTTTTTCTTTCTTTACAAATATAAAAGTTATTTTGTTTTAATAACCAAAACACTCCTAAAAGTGAGTTGTTAAGTGGTGCATTCAGTGTAAAAAAAAAACATTTTTCTATTAGTCTATAAGCCAGTCTATTAGGGAAACTGTAGAGACATATATAGTGGGTTCAAGAACCTACTAGCATTACCAGGCTGGTTTAAAGATGTAGGGTATTGAGAGAGCTTACATTTAGAAAACACAAGAGTGACCCTGCCAATGACCCTGCAACAGCAAATAACGCCAAGAAACGGAAGTCGAAAATTACCTGCTCAACATAATAAAAAACCTTTTAATTACAAAACAGAATATGCATAATACCACTTTATTTTATTTTGACAGTTAAGAAGGATTAAGATCTGCTATCATCCACTTTCTCATCCTCCAAAATACTTATAATATTAAATTGTGCAATTCACGATACAAAATAAAAAAACGCATTCTGGATAATCTAAACTGTATTTTTCAATAAACATAAAGAAGAAAAAAAATGAAGAGCGAAGGAGAAAAATACAAGAGAAAAGTACAAGACTGGTATAGGAAGAAGAAAATGAATAAGAGGAAAAAGAAGGTAAAGAATGAGGAAAAAAGGGATGAGACTGGTGTAGAAAGAAGATAAAGGAAGAGAATAAAGACAAGTTATTTCACTACTCCATGCACAGTGTATAGTGAGATATACGGAGGTGCAGATTGCTTCCTGCACCCCCATCAAAAATACATTTTATGTTTGTAGAAGTGACTTCCAGATTATTAAAATATAATATATATATATATATATATTATACGAATATTAATATTAATACAAGAATCTTCGTTCAATAATTTAAAACTTTTTCTTCTCTATGAAAAATGCAGTGGTATGACAGAAAAGAAGAGAAAGATGGAGAAATACCCTTTCAATGGAAGACTCGGTGGCTCGAACGAACCTAACGAGGGGGCTGCCGTTGGGGTTGGCGAGGGTGTAGTTGAAGGCGGGGTCAGGGGGCCTAGACTCGACGAAAGAAGTGGAGGAAGAAGGAGCGGTGGCGGCGGAAGTTCCAGAAGAAACACTCTGCTGTGCTTTAGATTCGTGGGAGGAAGAGCTTAAGGAAGCTTTGGCACACAAAAATTGACGAGGAAGATGTGAGGGACGATGCAGAAGAGAGGGAGCAAAGAAGAAGTTGCAGAGAGCCATCGCTATGAATGATTGGAATTCCACTCTAAAATATCCTCTTTCCCCATAAATATCACGCTAATAATAATTCATCTTTTTCTTTTTATCTTTTAGATAAATAAATAATTTCATCCTCCAAACATTATCAAAAAATAAATTATTTATTTTAGTTCCAAACAAGTTCTGTAATACTTTTAAATTCTATCATGAGAAGTTAATAAATATTGAAAATTTATTTAAAATTTTACAAATTTAAAAACTAAATTATGCCGGTTATTACTTATCCAATATTGTTTGTTTGTTTTACGTGGAATTAATTGATATTTTTGTTGAGAAAGTGTTTTTCTTAGGAATTGTTAGGAAGATATGTTCATACAAATCTTGATAAGATAGATATATTATAATTGGACCGTGATATTATGAAGACTTTAAATTATATTGAGAATTTGATATTATATTAAAAAGTCAATTTTAATTATAACTCAACCTTATAAAATTAAATTATAATAAAATTAAATTATAAAATGAGGTTTACATTTTAAAATTTTCAACAAAAACCAAGAATTCTTACATGTCACTGAGTTATTATCTTTTATAAATAGCTTTCTCTACAAGTTCATGCATAAGTTGGTCGTACGTAAGTCTTTATGATGAGTTTTTAGTGCCGACAAATTGTTAAAATGTGCCATTAAACCTTTAGTTTAAGGTGATGGAACAAGAATAAAGAAATTAAGAAACATTGTTAAAAGAACTTTTGCAATCTAGCTATGATAATTGACGTAAATAAAGTGTAAGGTCTTGTTCACTTGAGTGGATTTGAGGGAGAGTAATTGAGGGGATTTGAGAGGATTTAAAAATAAATTTTTTTGTTGTTTATTTGAGTCACTTTGAAGGTAAGTGAGAATGAATTTGAAAGTAAAGATTGTGAGAATTAGTGTAGGATTTGATTAACTTGACTGATTAAAAAAATTTACTTCCAAATCTAATCTCATTTACCTCCAAATTCATTCAAATAATCAATAAAAAAAATTATTTTCAAATCCTCTCAAATCCCCTCAATTACTCTCCCTCAAATCCACTCAAGTGACCAAAGCCTAAATGAGGATGATGTATCATATTAAGCATTTACACTTGAATCATGATGTCTTGATGATTCAACGGTTAAGATAGAACTTTGACAACAACACATGAGCACTCTTGGGTGTATTGAGAGAAGGTACTCTCTATCCAAAATCATAAGACAATACGTTAATGAGTCGTTCACCTTTATAGAGTACTCTACTTTCACATTTCTTTCTAATATGCGACTTGGACTCACACTTAGATTCCCAACAAACAAAACAAACACGTAAACACAACAACCTGCCCAATATGGACAATGTCAATAGGTTTGTGCAATGATATTCTCCAATTTAAAAGTTCATCAATTCATTTTGCAAAATACTTTTCATAGAGAGCTTGAGAGATGGCTAGAGCATCTCCTTTGGCCTTTACTGGGTAGAGCTCATTACCTTCCTGCCATTTGTTTGACTGTGAAATCCATTGTTTTCGCCACTCAATCAGCTTGAACTTCTCATTTTGTCTCAAGCTTTCTATCAAATGATTAAAATAGGTTGAAGCTCGAGGGAGATAGTAGCTTTCCATAAGTCCACTCCAAAATTTGTTGGCTAATCAGAAACCAGACAAATAGAAAACATCAAACATCAAACATGAATTAAAAATGGAATAGCATAGTCAATTTTAAAAGGCCATTTTTACCATAATCATGGAGCTTGCTCTGAGTAGTGTCATTGGTATCAAACCACATTGTCACTTGTGTCCTAGCATTCCATTCATACTGTTGGGAAAAGGTAAATGCATTAAACCATCTCATTTTCTCACTGGACTGATGCCTAAATGATAAGCAAGATGATAATGACTTGGTTTTTGGACAATCAATAAATGAGAAATTAAACGAAACTTTATATTGAATGACAACAGAAGGCAAATTAAATCTGAAAATTCAATATTTTCATGCTGTTGAGTTAGGAAAAAATAGAGTTACAAGAAGATATTGTAGTCATTAGAGTGCGGCACTAATTACCAATGCCAGATATCACCAACAATTTTGAAACTAAGTTTTATCTCTTATAATTGAGAAGAATAACAATATTTTCTCCAATTCTATGAGTGGAGATCACATGCTCACTGGAAAGTGTTGTTAAATTTCCTCTGTTCAATAACATTTTGCAAGTAATAATGGGTAGTTATAGAGTTAAATTCTATAAGTTGAAGCTTTCAGAGTTAAATTCATTAACGCTTACAAGCTAATAGCAGTTCTTAGAGATACAGTGAGCAATGAGAGTAAAATGTGAAGCATCTCATTTGTATAACTTGCAAAACTCCTCAAAACTGGTGATATTTTAGTTATAGAATTTGAAAGAATTTGTGCTTAATTAGACTAAGAACGTTATATTGATAATATGTACAGCATAACTACATACAATCAGGGATTAACTGATATGAAACTTGAGCTTAAGTCAAATGCTCACCTCAAGCTGCCAAATGGATTATGCTATATTTTAAATTCCAACAGTAGTGAGTAGAACATGCTAACTAAATAAAATTTAAATCATCAATTTCAACAAAATCCAAATGATTGTCTGAAAACAGGTGTCACTGTGAAGGATTATCTCTAGTTTAATACATGTCCCTTACCTGCTTTATCTCACTTGGATTGACTGCCAGTTTCTTAGCACTCTCAAGCCAAGTTCCAAGAAGAAAGTTATCATCCGAAGCAAGCAGTACATCAATATCTTTTATCAGTTGAAGGAACGTATTGCTGTGAAATCGCAAAGCTTCAATGTTCTTCTTCTGAAACGAAGTAACTGCCTTGTAGTATAACTGGTTTGCAAGTTTTGATAATACTTGCCTTGTCAAGTCAACCAGGTCGTACCTGTCAGAAAGATGACAGCACTTTTGATATAGTTGACCAAATCATTTGCTCTTTATCTTTCATGTTCATTGTGTGTGCATGTGCAAAGTTTTGGGAAAAGCAAAGTTTTACTTCTTCCCAATATAGAGCAAACTGGGGAAATTCACCAATATTGTCATGAGACCTGAACTAGAACCACTTTATTTCGTCCTTTGGTGAACATAAAAGAGCACCAAACTTATAATCATTCATTCAATTCATGAGAGGTGATTGACTTGCTTACATTACATGGACTTATATTTTCTATATAAATCAATTGAAATGCAAAGCTAGCATAGTATATTTTTATACCTCAAGAAAGGACCAAGTGACTAAAATATTTATTTTGTTGGACTAATATTGGGTATTAGAAAGTGGGTTTTTAAGCCTAACTCAACCCCCGGCTTGTAAGGTGAGGTTTGCACCTCACTTATATATTATAATTTGGCCTTATCTCTAGTCGATGTGGGACTTCCAACACACCCCCTTCACGCCGAGGTATAGACATCTCGTGCGTTAGTAGAAATTGGATGGTCCGATAACGGCCGATAGCGGGTGGAATAGAAGAACAGAATGTCCACTTAGAACTCGCTAGGATAGACTCTAACCATGGCTCTGATATCATATTAGAAAGTGGGTTTTTAAGCCTAACTCAACCCCACAAAACCGGCTTGTAAAGTTATAATTTGGCTTTATCTCTAGTCGATGTGGGACTTCCAACATTGGGAAACTTTTATTTCATTGAGATTGATAACATCTTCACGCAACATAATATTTTTGCAGGTTGGTTTAAGTTTGATGTCTTTAAAAATAAAATGCAAAAACATCACTGCACAGGGTATAATCCTCACTAGGTTGACACGCTTAGAAAGTGGAATTTAAATTTAACTCAACTTTGACAAATTAGCTTGTAAGATGATATTTGTATCTACTTACATTATAATTTGAACATATTTCTATTCCATGTGGAATCTCCAATACACTCCCTCACGCTGATGACTGGACATCACAATCATGAGTAGAGGGGGACCCAATAGTGGGTCACCATTGGCCCAAACAAACCCAATAAGGATAGACTTTGATACCATCTTAGAAATTTGACTTTAAGTTTAACTCAACCTTACAAACCAACTTGTAAAGTGAGATATGCTCCACTTATACTATAATTTGGAGTAGGATCTAAAACAAACACTATTATGCGTCAAGAAAAAAATGACTGGCATGAGTTTTAATTAAGAAAACAAAAACAAACGCTATAACCTATATTAATAATCTCCAGCATTCCTGGTCGCATATATAAAGGAAAAAAAATACAAAAGTGGGGGGACTCAATCAAAACCTACTAGGAAAATCTCAAATGTGGAAGACCATCTCCACAAATCATAAGAAATATAAAGGAGAATTCCCTCCCACCAAATAAAATCAACACCTCTAATTCTATAATATAAGTTTGATACCTAAAGTGGTGCATTATCCAACTATTGCTCTTAAATTGTTTTCCTGAACACTATTGAAAAAGTAATTAAAAAGGGTAATCCAGTATCATGACATGCAGAGAAATTGGTCTACCTTAGTCAATTATGGAAGATGGATGTTTACAAAGTGCAAGTGATTATAAAGAAAAATTTAACATTATAGTTCATGTTAATAATTGATGAGTGATTAAAGAGATTAAATTTAGTATATACTAAATTCAATAGATTACCTGTATGTGAGACTTCTAGAAAGATTCTTCCCACCAGCTAGGAATAGTTGTAATGCCTTAATTACATCATCAGAGGGGTACCACAAATGAGCTTGTGGCTTATCAGAGGCTGTTTCCTGGAATAAGTACCTTCTAATTCCAGGTGGCAACAAGTTAATCTTCTTCTGGGTGTTGGATACGCCAGTTTCAAAATTAGTTGATGGGTCCCAGTCAGGAAACATTACTATGAAATCATGATTATGGTCCTGACATAATTGACAAATTGTCCCAATCAATATCCATACTGGATGCTGATTTCAACAAAAGGAACTACAATACAACTCTTCCTTGTCCATTACGGTCCTAAGATCTCATGCTACTCACACATGCACAAACATCCAAGCATACAAAAAGGTAATATTTGCTTGCACAAGAATGTCCATCATAAG